TGGTGCTTGTCATGTTCTTTTTCTCACTATATGATTCTTCCCACTTTATCATCCATAGTTATTTCCACACTTCATTTTCTATCCACTCTATCCACACTGTTCAGCACCACCTTTCACTATATGCCTTTTCAATTATATACAGTGTACTACAATACTTATATTATGTATATCCTTAAATCAAAATTTTACCTTAATTTATTGGATTCTTTAAAATTATTATTTTTTGTATCCTATATATAATACTATATTATGCCTTGTAACAAATCTACTCTCTTGTACTTTTTTATTAATATTTATCTCTCTAATGAGTTTCTAATCTCTAATTCTTACTTTACTAATATCTGAAGCTAGTATCCTTTATAATATACTTTTATCCACCTTTATCAATATTTATATGTAAATACCTTATTTATTTTGAACAAAGACTATAAAACCTTAAAATCCTACTATATTACCATCAATCTGTTACTTAATTCATTAATCAATTCCACTATTAATCATCCAACAGTATCAATCCTATACAGCATTTATCAATATTTATCAATACTTATCAATATTCATGTAGTTTTAAAACCCCAAATACAAGATCTTAAAATGTTACTGTCAATCAATTGCTAAATTCATTAATTCAGTAAATTCATTAATCAATTTAATAATCAAATAATTAATTCATTTACCATCCAATAATATCAATCACTAATTAAATAATAATTAAATACTTAAATACTTTATCCAATTATTACACAAATTTATATCAATTGCAGTTTGTACACACTCTGTTTAGTCATGTTCTATTGCATCAGCTTCCCTTTTGCTTCTGCTGTCCGCTGGGGTAAGAATAATTGTTTCAATTTTTAGTCTCACTCTCACACTATGTCTGTCTTCCATCGAACCCCTCTCATTTTGGTCTCAAATCACAAATCACAAATATTGTTATTCTAATCTTCTCATATGTCCAGTCCTCCGATCTTCCAATACTCTATCAATCGCTATTAGGCAAATAAGCAAATTGGTTATGTCTTCTTGCTTCCAAGTCCCACTCCTCTCACCGATGGGTCACCACTCCGCTCTCAGATATCCACCCTCTGTTCTGAGACTCACAGTTCTACCATTCAATGTCTAGGATCTCTTCTCTTCTGTAATCAATCTCCGCCTTCTTGCAATATTTCCCTATAAGTGATTTGATGCCGATGCCACTGTTACTATTATATCTTCCTCATTCAGTGAGATTGCTGCAACTTCGGTCCACCATTAATATGATGGATCACTCACACACTGGAGCAAATGGGGTTTCCTTTCAGTGTAGCAAGCAGATGCCCACCACCTTGCTACTCCTTGGGCTTTCCACATCTTCACAGATCTCTCCAAGACTTGTGTGCCCCTCAAAAGGGCCTCCAAGCATGCAGATTGGGAATGAAAAGACAGAGCTTGTTCTTCTCTCCCCACACTGTCATGGCGCTGCAACTGGAAGTCCGGGAAAAATATTTTAAAACCCACTGCAGCTCAAAAGAAGAAGTAGTTCAGCAGAACTTCAGAATGTTGCCAATTGCTCCATTATTTACCCCCGCCCCCACTTATCAGGAATCTAGAGTGGGGCTGATCTTAAAGAGTTGGAAAAAATTCCAGAAACCATTCTTGGCATGCTTTTCCTACCATGTTTTTCTCCCCTATATTTCCCACCTCAATTCCACAATCCTTTACCTACTCCCATACCACTTCATACACATCAATAAAATGTTGTACTTCCAGATTGGAACCCTTTAATGCTATCCAACAGAAATTCGTGGCAATTAAAACATGTTTGTTTTCTTTTTTTTGAACCTACCTTCTCCCCTATACAGCCTGAACAGGGTTACTTCAGCTTGTTCATAAGGCTGACAATATACAACAAGCAGTCTCACATGTATATCATAATAATGTGTCACAGATGCACATTCAAAATGCTGTATATACTTATAATAATATAATTCTGATCTACGGATCTTTGAAGGAATAAATTCTTAAATCTATTTTGTAACTCTAATTAAATTGGCAAACCTTTAGTTTAAAAGACCCAGTGATGAAGGGAATACCCTACTTAAGGAACTACTATTGACAGAAATGAAGTATTTCAAAAACATACACATCGTGTAACTTTTACAGACTTTTTATCATCTAGATCAGGCCTGTGCAATGAGCTTGTAATACCCGTTGGTTTTGTTTTTTTAAGTAATAGATTTATAGCCACCACAATCTGTTCCAGGGCTTCTGCCCTTTCATTAGCTGAAAAACAACCAAACCATGTTTTTCTTTGCAGCCTACAAGGATTTTTACTTTATCAACATGGCTCCTTCCTCTTGACAGTTATGTATGCCTAATCTAGATATAGAAAGACATGCTTGGATCACTGATTCCTAGATCACTGAGGCAAATCCAGATCTCTTTTTGAATCATTTCCACCCTGTTAAATTGAAAAATCAATAAATAAATAAAATATAAATGAAGCAAAGTTAAAATGCATTTGTAATAGCACAATTTTATACATATTCAGTCAGAGATAAGTTTCACTAAGCTCAATATTTATACACAAGTCAATGGCAAACCTTAAAAATAAAGAAAGTACTTATTTAACTAACCAACCAAATTTTGGAATAATGAACTTGAAAATCCTGTCTTGAAAATGAACAGCGGTTGTTCTGAAACCATTTTCTTTTGATCTTAAAAAGTGAGCAATATAATAGAAAAAAAAGTGTGCAAGATGGATTGGCTACAATTTCTTGCTGGTGCAGATTGAATTTGAATTGAAATAATGGTTCACATGATTTGGGCTTTCCCTCCTCATTGTAATATTTAAATCTGAAATCCAAAATATATATTACAATATATGAGATATTCCTTATTTAAATTTTTGGCCTTTTTCAGAGTCAGATCCGCCTTCTGGTTTAATAGATTATGTCATTTTTATTTTACACAAACAAAAACCCTTAAGGAAAGAAAAAGACTGTCCAGCTGAATGCATCCACTCTATTGGTTCTTGAGGGAAACAGCTGGACTCCATATGAAAGAAATGTTGCAGCGAATCAAATTACACAAATGTTTAAAAGTGATTTAGACTAAATTTTAGAGTACTAACTTCTCTCCCTTTACTGCATCTACACAAGATTGGGCAATATTGCTTTTCTTAACTATGTAGTGCCTCTTCAGATTTAAGGCAAATTCTAAATGACTATTAGAAAAAAAAAACTTTTAACTGTGAGCAGTTTCACAGTAGAATCAATTACTAAAGAGACTTCCCATAATTGAGTATGTTCACAGGAAACAAGACAGCTATCTGGTTGAGAGGCTTAAAATCTGATTCTTACATTAAGCAAGGGGTTGAACTTGATGACCTAAATGATTCTTTCCAATTCTAGGATTTTAGGGTGCTAAAGAAGTGAAATTGAAAAATATTGGTGACTTGGTATAAGCACACTACATTTTCTGCAGTTAAATCAGATTATGTCATTTTTATTTTACACAAACAAAAACCCTTAAGGAAAGAAAAAGACTGTCCAGCTGAATGCATCCACTCTATTGGTTCTTGCTAGCATGCCTTTTGAATGGCTTTTCCTGTTCTAGGCTGAATTAATACTATCACTCCTATTTATGTTGACTCAGAAATAAGTAGAAGGGCAAAGCCAGAGCTTTCTTTCTTCACTAATAACAACACAGAACCTGCCGATATGTGAGAAACTTCAACCATTAATATACCATCACATCATTTGTCTCTTACAAATAGCACATCAGTGTTAACAATTTAAAGGGAGAAAAAACAAATGAAGAAAAGTTTTTGCTCAGTCTTCTCAGTAACACATCTGAAAATAAGACTGATTTTGTTTGTTGCCAATTTCAGACATGTTCATAATAATGCCAGAATAGGATATAACATTACAGTTTCCCATCATAAGGTAATGGTGTTACTCAATGGGATTCAACAATATGAATATATCTAAGTAGGTAAGTGCCAATTGAGAAAAATGAGATGTATTAATAATGTGAAAAATGTGATGTTAATAAACATTTTACTAAGATGACATGTTTTTAACAGTTTAAACAATCAAGCACTGTCTTTTTTTTTTTTACAATGCAATGGTGCCAGAATCTACAGCTTGCCATCAAGAAGTCTGGCTGATTGTGACTACAATTGGTTAATGATAGTTCTGCATTGTTTGAAAAACCAGGAATTTAAATGGTTATCAATTACTTTATTTAAAATAAGGAAAAAAGTATAAACAAGCACCTCACCACTATCACTACAAAGATGAAGCTAAAGTTACAGATTGAGAGGAAAAGAATATGAGTTCAAATTATACAGGTATGGAAAAGCAGAAATTTGTAAGTTAAATTCCTTGAGAAGATAGTTGGAGAACAGACTGAAGCAGGGAGCAGGGAGAAACTGCCTGTGAAAATAAGTAAAGGAAAAGGTACTTTTTAAATCTGACTCATTTTCCAATATTGTGTGTTATTTGGATACTTCCTTCTCCTCTCAAGTTTTAATCCTCTCAAGTCCTTACAGGTAAAAGAAAAAAAAAACCCAGCTGTTAGGAATGTGAGTGTGGGGTGGGGGCCTCTCCTTGTCAGACGCGTCTCCTTTTGAAGAGCACATCTCTCATCGTGTCATTCATGCCGCTGTTGTCATTATCGCTATTATTTTTCCAGTCCTCTGAAGTGCCCTGTCAAGGTGTGAAGTGTTACCCGTCTGCTCCAGGCAAGGGGAGATTCGCCTCACAAGCATGGGGATGGTGGTACGTATTCCCTTTTTCTCCTTGCTCATCTAAAAATCTTCAGGGTGCAGTTTGCGAAGGAGCCATCCCAGGGAAAACTCTTGGGATGGGGCAGTGGGTGCCTCTTTAGATACTGACGCCTGCCCATTGATAAGTAGTACGCGTGTTTGTGTGCGTGTGCGTGTGTGTGTGTGTGTGTGTGTGTGTGTAGATACCGGTTGGCTGGATGCCCTCCCTGCTTGGCGGGGGGGAGGGGGGGCTGAGCCAGGCAGGGAAGCCATTGCCTGTTTAATAGTTGCTGTTGCAGCACTTCCGCTTCTCTCCCTGCGAGAGACACACGAGTGGCCAGGCCCAGCCGCACCGAGGAGGAGCAGCCAGACACAAAGGGAGAGGTATGGGGAAGGGGCACCCCATCGCCACGACCAGATACAGTTCCCCTTTCCTGGGTCACGGCTTGGCCCGAACAAGCTCTGAGGGGAAAACGAGGGAAAACGATCCGGTGGGGCTTTGTGGTTGCCTGGGGAAAGCGAGAGATGGGAGAACGACGTGGGTTGGCAAAGGAGATCGGAGGAATGGAGGAGGGAAAGGATTTGGGGTGATCCTTTCTGGGGCTGTCAGATATCGACCCCAGCACAGCTGTCCCTTCGACTGAGCCGCAAGAGGCCTGTAGTGGCAGGAGGGGTGCCACCCCACCCCCCACCACCATGTCCTGCTTGTGAATGGAGGCGAAAGATGGGTTGGAGCGGGGAAAAATTGGAGGGGGACAGGGCTGAAGTGTGAAAGAAGGCGGATTGAGATGTGGGCAGCAGGAAATGGGAGGGGGTTTCAGCAGACAGCGAAATGATCTGGGGGCAGGGAGTCCCATTGGAGAAGCTTTTTCAATTGTAGAGATACCCAAATACCCCCACACACGCCTTTTAGAAATTCCTGTCGCCCTTAACACACAAATGGTGGCCGAAAGCTACAAATCTCCTTTCCCCACACATACCTCATCTCTTTTCTGATCAATCCTCTCTCCACTCTAAATTAGTAGGCATGGATAATACACTTCCCGAGAAGTATTACGTTCCCACTGCTCATCTTGGGGTTCTAAGTTTCCTTTCTGATCTCTTAAATTATCACCCTATTACCTTTACTTTTGATCAGCCTTTCCTAATACAGCCCTCTTCCCAAATGGGATTTTTTTCTTTCTCCTTAAGCTACAAGGATTCCCCTGCTTTCTCAGCAACATTTTCTTATGCATAATAGGCAGTGAATTACTGTTAGTAATGTCTTCTCTATGTGCCTGTGTCTTGGGAGTGAATATTTGGGAGAGGGATCTTGAAAATCTCACTCAAAAATTTCAGGAGACTTTTAAGGAAACCATTTAGACTCAGTAATCCTGTTTCCCCTTTCCTCCCTCCCTCTGACCTATGTCATCCTCATTTTCCTTCTCCCCTCCCTCCTTTCTAGAGATGGAACTAGCACTAAATGCTATTGAAGCAGAAGGGGGGGAAAGGAGGATTCCTTCTTTTTCCTCCTTTAATCCAATCTCTATATTTCCCTGCAATGGGAGAAGAAAATGTTTCCCAAGTTAGAATCTTGAGACTTGTACACACAGACTGACACATATGCGCGCGCACACACACACACAACACACACACACACGCAGTAATTAATAATTCTCAGTTTCCCTCCCTGTTCCTTGTGGTATTTCTTCTCCAGGTTTGGGTGGAGCTATAGTGGGGGGGAGCTATGTCGGATGACGATTCAAGGGCTAGCACCAGCTCTTCTTCATCTTCATCCTCCAACCAACAGACTGAGAAAGAGACAAACACACCTAAGAAGAAAGAAAGTAAAGTCAGCATGAGTAAAAATTCCAAGCTCCTTTCCACCAGCGCAAAAAGGTAAGATTGTCTTTTATCTATAACTTTTATTTACTGCTTTTTAAAATGTGACTTTACTCTTTTCAATATCCCTGTTTCACTCTTCTGTGAAAGATAACTTTTTCCAAATCAAAATTGCCATTTCTTTAAGGTACATCATTTTCCTGATAATTTTCCTCTTAGCATTTGTCTATATTACTGATATTGACAGTGAGAAAAGTTAAACGCATGTGACTTGAAACCAAGACTGTAAATTCCTGCCTTGCTCTGCATGACTCTGAGGAAGACATTTAATTTCTTCACCTATTGAATATTTACGTAAGGAATGTAAAGATTGTTTTATGTTTTATTGCTGCTTTAAGCTAATATGATAAAATATTTGTTTTTTATGAAAGGGGGATTCAGTTTTTTTATTATAATATGCATTTCAATTAACAAATTCTATTTTTCAAATCAATTTGAATTGATTTGAACAAACTTTAAGACTTTCATGTAAAATATGTCCTGTTTCAATAGCAAGACTTGTCAATGTGAATTACAACTGCAAATATTTGTATTGTACACCTCCATGGTTATGATCCTTCTTATATATGTTTGCTTTGTGACTAGAATTTTAAGCAGTATTTTCACCAAGTTGCCTAATAGATCTAGTTTCCTGTATCTTGTTTCTATTATTATTATGACAACAGAAACAATAAAAATAAAAGAAGCAAATTTTCATTAGAAATTTTTATAGAGAAGAATAGATCTGTGTCTTGTTTGGGGAGTGAAAAAGAAGGAATATTTCATGCCTCTGTCTACTGCCTTCCATTTAATTTAAGTGATAAAAATATTGATTGGGAAATATCAAAAAATGTTGACTGGCTTCTGTTTTATAAATGTATGCAGTTTTCTTTCACTTCTGTTAGTAGGGAAACTAAAAAGCAGATCAAACTAACTCCATAAAATAATGAACCTTCATTCTTTATTGTCATAGAATTCAAAAGGAATTGGCTGACATCACCTTAGATCCACCTCCCAACTGCAGGTATCTATTGATACTTCTACTTTTAATCTGAACTAAACATTATAAGTGTGGAAATTACAATGCCATCCTATATTTTTTCCCATGTACTGTTCCTAATTTTAAGTAAGAAATATCATCTGATGGCGTTATATTATACTGTATTTTTGACTTTCATCCAATTTGTACAGGGAAAGACAGTACAAAGGCATCATGTCTCATATAACTTATCATTAAAAGAATTTGAGGGTCACAGTGGTCAATCACAGTGCTACATAGAGGATTTTTTAAAAGACCATTTTTGGTTCTGAAATCTTTTTTGAATAGTTGTACTGTGTAAAATTATTCTTTATGGACTTTGAAATTCAGAATGTGAGTTTCAAATGTGAATTTTGTTATGAAAAATTCCATATAAAGCACATTTGAATTTAAGCACATTTCTTTTTTGTCACTGTCTGTATTTTAATTTCATAAATATTTTTAATATTGTTGTTTTCTTATTAAGATTTGGAAATAAAGCGGAAATACCCCTTCTATTTCTGTGCACAATAGTAATGTGTGTTTCAGAAATGTAATTATAAGGTGGTATGTTGTCTTTTATAAACCAGATCTGAACTGTCTTTTAAAAGATCTATACATTTTTGGAAAGTGACTGCTATCCCTTAATTTTTCTAGCCCTTTGCATTTAGTTAGAAAGTAGTAAAGTCTTTTTTTAAAAAAATAGGAGGGTAAGTAGATTTAATGACTATTTCACGTTGGCAGAAGAACAGAAAATATTCCTCTGATCAATGAGGGCTGTCATGCTATGGAAACTACACATCATTTTAATTTATGGTGATTTAAACATTGTCTATGTTCCGCATCCAATATTGAACCATTTTCTTTCTCTTCCCAGCCCACACTTTCAGAATCAAAGTTGTACCCAGATCATCATGGGACACTTTCAATAGTTAACTCTGTTTAAACAGCTTGTGTTTGAATCCAGTTTCTTTCACATCTCTATTTTGAAAAAATATAATGATAGTAAATGTGGATCCTTTTTCTAGGTATCATACATTTTAAGACATATGAAGTATATTTGTTTTGCTTAACAGTTTTGTGGGACAGAGATTGGATTATGCCACAAGCAATCTAGGGATCATATGAGTCTTGTATTTAAGATTATATAAGTAGATAAAAATGTAGATTGTGGTTTTTGTTTTGTTTTTTTCTACGCTTATTGTTCACATCAACGAAGATTAGTTGTGATTTAGACTCATAATTGTTCAAAAGAATAAGAAAAACATTACATCTAGCCGTAATGCTGTTTCTGATAAAGTTTTGGAGTTTTGATAAAGTGTAGTTTAATACAGAGAGTGTTACCTTTTTTGCATTAAACATTAAAATTATTTTTGTATAAATATATAGAACAATTTTCATCACAATAAACGTTCTAGCCAGCACAAATGTCATGTTAAAAGGATTGGCACAAGAAATACAACAAGTATCATTTAAGTACCATTTGTAAAAGTAAAGTGGATACTGATACCTAATGTATATGCCAATATTGTTAAAATCATTGTACTCATGTAACATAGGCATCAAGCTATCAAGGCTATTTCTATTGTCTGCATCCTCCATCATCACTTATCAATTCTCAAGTTGCTTTCATTATGAGTTGGAAAAGCATCAGTTTCTACTTAACATATGAGTAGTAGAAGTATCGTTGTAATATGGATGACTATATAAGTTGATATATTAAATAAATAAATACAATTTAAATAGTGTAAATCCTAGACTTCAAGGTAGTTCATGGTCCTTGTCCAGGGGTTTTAAAGACTTGGGACTAGCATTGGTAAGAAAACACAAAAGGGGGCAAATTTGTAAGTATTGTTTCAAGTGAAAATTATTTCACTCAGTTCCAGATGATAAGCAGAGATATCTTGGTATTCCTAATGTTAATAGTAACAGGGGCAACTATTTTATTTTTCAGATATCCCTTTTTTTTTTAAAGAAGACTGCCACAGACAATTGTTCTAACTTTCTTTTTTTATTCAATCATTTGCTTTCAGGCCAAGGTTGGTCACTGACAATGACAATCTGCTTATGTTTTGTGTAGATTGTGCTTGAAAAACTAAGATTTGCCAGCTTTATGTAAATATGTATAGTGTAAGTTAATTAATTATCAGGCACAAGCAATCAAGTTCACACATGTAAAATTCAAACAGACTACTTTATTATATCCCACATATTATACAGGAATGTCCCCAGATTACTTGCCTTTTCTTGGGAACAGATATGGACCCATAAAAAGTTATGGGGGAGGGGGATTAACACTAGGTCTCAAGGCTAATTCCCACTTAAGCTACCCGTTGTCTGATTAGTAATGTACTAGGTCTTTGGGGTAAATTGAAAAAGATTAAGTCTCATAAAAATGATAATTAAGCTGCTTTCAATAGAATGTCCTTGATTTGTAAGAATTTTGTGTCCAAATGTGATGCTTACAAAATTATAACTAAAATTAAAGTTTTGTGGTAAAATGGTGTTGTATAACTGTTTTTTTAATAACAGCTTTCTCTTCCATTTCCTCCTTTATTACATGTGACCATCTTCATTGTCCTTTGCTCTATACCTGATAGTAATCTAGATAACATCTCTTTCCTTTCATATAACAATACTTTTCAAGTTTCACCTCATTTGTGGACTGTGTTTGAATCTTGGTTTGAAATGTTCCAAATGTTGACCAAGAGCTTTTCTTTCTTGACAATGGATGTAAAAACTAGACACTCCATACTATACTCACATGGGTACATAACTATTTCTGTGCAACATATAGAACAATGTATGTTATGTATCAAAAAACTGATGTTTGAATAGCAAATCCAGGCACCCACTAGGCTCATTAACCTTCAAAAAACAGTGGAAGAAAAAATAGGTTTCTGTAAAAAAGGTTTGTATATAATCTTGTATTGACAAAAGCAGTATCTTTTTAAAAATAATATTTGTTTTATTTAAATACAAACTTTCATTAATAAGGACATTGCACAGTCATAAATTAAATCAAGCATCCAAATGTAAACCATGTGTCTATGGGAGATGTTGCAATGGTCATAAGTCTGAAAAATGATTATAAGTCACTTTTTTCAGTGCTGTTGTAACTTCAAATGGTCATTAAGTGAACTGTTGTAAGTCAAGGACTACCTGAATGTTTGTTCCAGAAAAGTAATGAACAAAGCAAGTTTTTCTTAAGGTCTGGATTTCATAACTTTGATAAAAAAATCAGTGCAAATGGCTCTGTAGTCCAATCAAGAAGACTTTTACATTGGAAAGTATCTATCTGAATAAAAACCAAATCTTTTCTAGCTGTTTTCCAGATTTTTATGAATAGTACCAACATTGTTTGCAATTCACCAGGAAATGCTATGACCAGGAAATTCCCTATGACCTGGGAATATATTCCCTTTCATGATTTTTTTCAGTTTCAGAAGATTCTGTTATAAATATTAATTATATGTATTTTTATTTTTATATAAAAAAATCTATAAATATTTTAACTTAAAAATAATTACATATTTTCTTAGGATTTAATGTTCTGTCAGGAATTAAACACAATGGAATGCATGGAATCTTCTGACTTGTAAATCTGAAGATGGAAATGAAGATGGAATTTCATTAAAATAACTAAAGCCTATTGTTTTTACACACTTCATCCCTTTTTTTGTGTGTGTGCTATGATAAGGGACATACAGAGGAACTGAGGTTTGTGTTATATTGGTGTGATCATATTTTCCTCATTTGTCCCCATAACCTATAAGACACCTCTGAATAAGCTCCTTTCATGGACACTTCAGAAAATCAATATTGAATTGTATTTCACATTAGAATTAATTCAATCACAAAGCCTAATTTTTTAAAACACTTATAGATAGTCCACTGGAAGTAGAAGTGTGTGCAAATCTATATTTTAAGAGTTGAGAATATAGTGTCTTTTTTCTGGAAATCATATATGAATATGTTTCCATTGGTAGTTATCAAGCTATTTTCTAATTCTGCATACATAATGCAGTAATATTCTAATTCTTAAATCAGGATGAGAGTTTTGGTTATATTCCTTTGTTTGTTAGTTAGAAAGTGAGATTTACAGTAGTCAAGTTCATTTCATGCTTGCAATGTTTTGGAGGGTTTTATCAGGGATGGTGTGATACATACATCACTTTATCAATGCACACCAACTGAAAATATTTACATAACCTTTAGAACAAACAAATTAATATACATTCCAGATTCATATGGATATGGAAGCCTAAACTACTTTGATTTTACTATTTATCAGTCAAATCATTTATTATAAACACACATTTGGCTAATACAATTAGAGAAGCAGTTTTTCAAGAACTCTCTAAATACATACACATGCACATAAAATCATTGTCTACATTGTGCCATTAGTATTGAATATTTCAAAGCATAGTTATGTTTAAAATCTTCACAGTGCAGCATATAATCAGATTATATGACAGAACAATTGATCAGTGGAATGACTTGCCTTTAGAAGTTGTGGATGCTCTAACACTGGAGGTTTTTAAGAAGAGATTGATCAACCACTGGTCTAAAATAGTATAGGTTCTCCTGCTTGAGCACAGGGATGGACTAGAAGACGTCCAAGATTCTTTTCTTCTCTGTTATTCTGTTATATTCTGTTCAAAAATCTGTTTAGTCATTTCACATCTTAGCAGTTTCATATTGCTGCATGTATCTTCAGATGAAAAAATGACAAGAACCTTGTTAAGTTCATTGGTGCTATATATATATATTTCAGTGGCTTATGTTTTAGGGATTTTGGAGTACGTGTAAGATTATGATATATACATTCCATAGTGATTTCTTCCTTGTTTACGAAATTGAAAATTTCCTATTATGTAATAACTGATAATTGTGAATTTTTCTATACATTTTTCTATACATTAAATGGCATATAGCACCATTTAGTGCTATACACTATAATACTGTACTATATACTGCTAAAGAGGTGCTGCAGAATAAGT